CGACCGACCAAAAAAAAAAAAAAGAATAATAGTCTTGAAGGAATTTTTTTCTTGTTCTTCTTTTTGTGTGTGTGCTCACTCTGGGCTTGAACTCAGGGACTGGGTGCATTCCCTTGGCTTTTCTGCTTATAGTTCATGCCCTACCACTTAAGCCACACCACTACTTCCAGTTTTTGATGGTTAATTAGAGATAAATATCTCATGGGCTTTCTTACTTAGGCTGTCTTCAAACCATTATGGTCAGATCTCAGCCTCCTGAGTAGTTAGAATTACAGGCAATGAGCTGCTGGGCCCTGGCTCAAAGGCAAATGTTTTTAGAGCACAAGTTTCACTAGTTAGCAAGTCAGGGTTCAGAAAAGGACAGCTAGGCCAGGAGCTGGTGGCTCATGCCTGTAATACTAGCTACTTAGAAAGCTGAGGTCATGGGGCTGAAAAGATGGCTCAGTGGTAGGGTGCTTGCCTTGCATGCATGGGGCTTTGGGTTCTATTCCTCAGCACCACATAAACAGAAAAAGCCGAAAGTGGCGCTATGGCTCAAGTGGTAGAGCATTGGCTTTGATCTAAAGAGCTGAGGGACAGTGCCCAGGCCCAGAGTTCAAGCCCTATGACCGCCAAAAAAAAAGCTGAGATCTGAGGATCATGATTTGAAGCCAGCCCTGGCTTCACTTACCACTCAAAAACCACAAGTGGACACTGTGGCTCAAGTGTTAGAGAGCTAGCCTTGAGCACAAATTGCCCAGGCTGAGTTCAAACCCCATGACTACCACCACCAACAACAAAAAAAAAAAAAGGAAAGAAGAAAAAGCATGATGGCTAGGCATAGCAGCAACAGGAACTGTGAAATAAATTTTGAGAATTTCTCTTTTTCTAGGTTTGTCTATCATTTCTACTTCATTTTTACCAGTTTCGACTGCACACATACAGCCCAACATTTAGTGCCCAGTCCCATCCTACAGGTGTCTAATATCACCTGAATTAGTGGTTTATTTATTTTTGTTTTGTTTTTGCAATACTTCAGTCTTGAACTGAGGGCCTGGAGCTGGGTAGGCAAGTGCTCTAACAATTGAGTGGCATCTCTAGCTGTTTTTGCTGTAGCTACCTTTCAGATAAGGTCTTAAAACTTTTGTTCCAGTTAGCTTTAGACCACATTCCTCCTACCTATACTCTAAATAGCTGGGTTTACATACACATACTACCATGCCCAGCTTATTCATTGAGTCTTGCTTTTTTAAATTTTTTGCCAGTTTATTTTTGGGGAGGGAGAAAGGGGGGCAGCTTTGAACCATGATCTTCTTATCTATATTGGCCAAATAGTTGGAATTACAGATACAAGCCTGTAATTTAAACCAGAAGATTGTGTGTGTGTGTGTGCACATGCACGTACGCGTGTGCACACATGCATTCACATGCACATATGCATGCTAGTAATGGGGCATGAACTCAGGACTTGGGTACTGTCCATAAGCTTTTCTGCTCAAGGCAAGCACTCTATCACTTGAGCCATAGCTCCACTTCTGCTTTTTTGCTGCTTAACTGGACAGTGTCATGGATTTTTGGCTCCAAACCATGATCCTCATGTCTCAAGCTTTTGAGTACCTAGGATTACAGGCATGAGCCCCCAGCCCCCAGGTTAAACTATAAAACTTTTTTTTTTTCTTTTGTGCCAGTCCTGGGGCTTAAACTCAGAGCCTGGGTGCCAGCATCTGACTTTATAAAGAAAAAAAAGTTTGTTGGACTGTGAATCAATATTCTGGTATTGGAATAAATATTCTTGGTATAATCATGTTATGTCTGAGGAAAAGGCAAGCACTGAAAAGTTATCTAGGCTCTGTGTGCAAGTGATAGGCATATTCTGATAGACATTTCTTTAATGGTTAATGATACTGAGCATCTTTTCATATACTTACTGGCATAGGCTTTTTGTGTGGGTGCTGGTCTTGGGGCTTGAACTGAGGACCTAAGCACTGCTCCTGAGCTTTTGTGCTCAAGGCTAGTACCCTCTTGACTCTGGCTTTTTAGTGGTTAATCAGAGATAAGATTTTCACAGACTTCTTGTCCAAGTTGGCTTCAAACCATGACATAGAGATCTCAGCTTCCTGAGTAGCTAGGATTACAGGATTGAGGCACTGGTCCCAGCTGGCTATCTTTTTCAGAGAAACTTTTCTTTCCTTTGCCTATTTCTATGTTGGGCTTTGTCACTGAAATGTAGTTTATATCTTTTGAATGCTCATTATCTAATACTTGATTTACAAGTATTTTCTTTACATTCTGTAGGATGTTTCCTCGTATGTATTTTTATATTTTGATGTAGTACAATTTATCCTTTGTTGTTGCCTGCACTTATCTGAATATCATATACAAGCAATCTTTTTCAAATTTAGGTCATGAAGCTTCCCTTTATAGTTTTTTTTTTTATCTATTTTGAGATTTTTGTGTATGGTATGAAGCTAGAATACAACTTCATTCTTTTACAGTGGATATCTTTTTTGTTGTTGTTGTTGGTCATGGGGCCTGAACTCTGGGCCTGGGTGCTGTCCCTCAGCCCTTCAGCTCAAGGCTAGCACTCTACCACTTGAGCCACAGCGCCACTTCTGGCTTTTTTTCCCCCCTGCTTATGTGGTGCTGAGGAATTGAACCCAGGGCCTCATGTATGCAAGGTAAGTACTCTACCACTGAACCACCTTCCCAGCCCAGTGGCTATCATTTTCTCAGTAATATTTGCTGGAAGTCTTACCCCACTGAAATGGGTCATATGACACCCCTATTGAAAAGCGCATTAAACCATACATTTGAGGGTTTCCTTCTAGGTTCTATGTTATTTCATTGATTTATACATTTCTTTTTTGTCGGTTGTAGGGCTTGAACTCTGTGCTTGGGCACTGTCCCTGAGTTCTTCAGCTCAAGGCCAGTGCTCTACCACTTGAGCCACAAAGCCACTTGGTTTCCTGGTAGTTAATTGGAGATAAGATTCTCATGGATTTTCCTGCCCAGGCTGGCTTTGAACTGTGATCTTCAGATCTCAGCCTCGTGAGTAGCTACGATTACAGGTATGAGCCACTGGTGCCTGGCTATGTATTTCTTTATACTAGTACTTTTGAATTGTTTGGTTTTTATTTGGCTTTGTAGTAATCAGCTTTGCAATCAGGAATTGAGTCTGAAATTTTATCTTTCAACTGTTTTGGCTATTCTGTGTCTCAGGATTCCATGTGAGTTTTTGGAAAGGCTAACCCCTTGGATTTGGATTACAGTGAACCTGTATAATATCACCTTGAACCAGTGTTGAATGTTACCAATATTCAGCTTTCCAATTCAGTAAAACAGCATTTCTTTCCATTTCCACTTAATTTCTTCCATTTCCTATTTAATTTCTTTCCATGGTGTCTGATCCAGAAAAGGCTCCTTTCTAGAGGTGTTTTTTTTTTTTTTTTCATTCTACTGCCTATCCTTTTTTTTTTTTTTTGTCTGGTTCTGGGCCTGGGGGCTGTCCTTGAGCTTTTTTTTCTTTCTTTCTTTTTCTTTTTTGTCATTGAGGGGCTTGAACTCTGGGCCTGGGCACTGTCCTTCAGCTCTTTAGGTCAAGGCTAGAGCTCCACCACTTGAGCCACAGTGCACCTCCGGTTTTCTGAGCGGCTTATTGGAGTTAAGTCTCACTCCCTTTCCTGTCTAGGCTGGCTTGGAACTGTGATCCTCAGATCTCTTCCTCCTGACTAGCTCAGATTACAGGCCTGAGCCACCATGACTGTTCTGTCCTTGAGCTTTTTTGCTCAAGGCTAGTGCTTTACTATCAGACACACAGCTTTTTGTACATAATTAGACATGAGTCTTTTTTTTTTGGGTCCAGTCATGGGGCCTGAACTCTGGGCCTGGGCGCTGTCCCTCAGCTCTTCAGCTCAAGGCTAGTGCTCTACCACTAGAGCCACAGCGCCACTTCCGGCTTTTTTCTTTTTGCTTATGTGGTGCTGAGGAATCAAACCCAGGGCCTCATGCATGCAAGGCAAGCACTCTACCACTGAGCCACCTTCCCAGCCCCAGACATAAGAGTCTTGTGGACTCTCCTGCCCAAGCTGGCTTTAAATTGTGATCCTCAGATCTCAGAGTCCTGAGTAGCTAAGGTTATAGGCATGAGCCACCAACACCCAGGCCCTGCCTATTTCTTACTTGTCCCTAACATTTGAGGTGGTCCACCCTAATATTCTCTGCAATACAACATGTCCCTTTGGGGTAGTTGGAGGAAGAGATTTTTGAACTATTTAGAACAAGCACAGCTATTATGATGAGACATTATTTCAAACAATTACTGCACTAAAATTCATTGGGGGTGGAGAATGGAGGAGAAACACAAAAGAAGGAAATTTTATAGACAATAATAAGAGAAGCACAAGAGGAAGCACTGTCCTCCTTTGTACTGTTATTTTATTACTGTTATTTTATTAAGTCCATATATTAAATAAAACATAACAGGAAAATCAACAAATTTATAAAATAGAATTTGAGGTGTTTGGATGAAAAAGAAAAAAACCTCCATAAGAACGATGCCTTCATGTCTACAGATTTCTCATGTTGTTGGTCTTGAACTTTAAATATCAAGTAAAGGTATCTACCTTGAAACAAAAGTTGGAATGCTGTAAGGTTAAGCTGCAGTTAATATAGTGATGGGCCAGAAAAATTATAGATTTTCTAAATCTTATCCTAAAATATTGTATATAATTAATGCTGATATGCAAAATGCAAGCTTTTAGCAGATAGCAAGAAGGAAACTTGAGTGAATGAATGCAACTTATCTCCAAGACCTCTAAAAAGTGAAAAAATAAATAAATACTGTGTTTTATAGTGCTCCCCCCTCAAAGCATTGTTATAAGCATGCGAGGGTGTTGTGAGCAGTTACCCAGAGGTAGGTTCAAGGCCAAGAGTAGGAGTGATGAAGGAATCCTCTTGAGGCCAGTACCATGTCATGGAATGCCCGTTTGTGCTAGAGGGTGAGTCTATGGCCTATTTTTTTCTCATTAAAAAGGACATTCCAAATGTCAGCTTTGCCAGAAAAGAGGCATTCTTGCACCTGCTCCTGAGGACAGCTAGGATACAGGATATGGCTGGCATAAATGTTTTATGGCAAGCACATGCTTTAAAAAAAAAAAAAAAAGCACATGCTATTTTAGTTTGAAGTCTACCAAACGGTAACATTGAGGAGAAATAAAAAGCTGAAGATGGAGTTGCTGTTCCTCAAGATAAGGGAACAAAAATCTTACAAAAAGAGGTACTAGGCACTCACTTAACTCTGAATGGAGAACATTCCTCTCAGGCTAGGCAGAAGGTGAGGAAGAATATTAATTACCAAAGACTGATCAGGCTATTTAAAGACCAAAAGGAGAGGGGAAATAGCCTATCAGGAAGAAAGGTAGTAAAAGAAGTTCTTCTGGGTCTGAATAGGTAGAGTGAACCTAAGGCAATCACACCAAAGATACCCAACTTGTTACACTTCAGCTACAAGGGATGGCAAAAATGTCTCAAGACATTTTAAACCCAGAAAAATACATGAAAACTATGATAGTTAACCAAGTAAATTAAAACCAGACCTCCAATGATATAAAAAACAAAACTCTTTAGATCTGAAGTCAAATACTCATTTTTCATTAATTCTGTGCATTATTGGGGGAAAAAAAAGGTAACAAGTGGAAAGATTTGTTTTATTTCTACTAGAGAAGGAGAGGATAAATAGAACTGTCTTCCAATTTGCTCTCCACTGTGAACACACATACCACACGCATACATATACATACATACACCAAAGATACCCCCCCACAAAAAGAAGAATCTAAAACCAAAACACCCTCAAACTGCACCACTACTTCATATTTTGACCAAAAGTATAGATCCTGGAAGTGCAAAATGCAAAATCAAATGACCAAAAAAATGCTGAATAAACAGCATTGTTAATATACAAAATATTTATATTACTGTACTAGTAATGTGATGCTCTCCATGTCTGTGAAACTTTGGAACCACATAGCTGATTTGTTAAATCTAGTCCATGCCAGCTTCCAAAAACCAGAAAAGATTTTAGTTTGCTTCATTCTTTGATGCTTCATCAAAATTTTCTACAAGATCTGGCAAAAAAGAAAGAAAAAAAGTAAATGATTCAAACAAAAAGAAAAAAGTAAATGGAATATCTAACTTTTAACCTCAATAAAAGCAAAATTATTACAACTAAGATTAGCCAAATTAGAACAAGGCAAAACTGAACTTGTAGCATTTTACTAATATTGACTCATTTATCTGCTTAATTTAAAACAATAGTCTTAGAAATGTTTATCATTTTTAAAATTTAAGCAAACTATGGCAAATTCCATTCTCATATGTCAATTTATAATTCCAACAGAATTTTCTAAATAACTGCATATTTTTAATGACAATGATTTAAATTTAACAAATACAAGCAATAAAGCCTTATGTGACAATTGCTGATTCTAAGTTCTAAGTGAGAGGATTTTATCCTTTTCATTAGATCCTATCCATACCATTGTAAATCAAATTAAGAACTCACAATCAACAAAATCCTAAAAGTTATCTATATAGGAAGTGAAATGAGATTAAAAGGATGTTAAAAAAAAAAAAAAGTCTTAACGGGGAGGATGGGAAGGAATGGGAAGGGGAAACAAAGGAAGAGGATACAATGCTTGATAAGAAATGTACTCATTATCTTGCCCATGTAATTGTAACCCCTCTGTAAAGTATTTTCACAATTAAAAAAAAATATGAAAAAAAAAAAAGTCTTAAGACTAAGCCAGGTGCCAGTGGTTCATGCCTGTAATCTTAGCTACTAAGGAAGCTGAGATCTAAGAAACAATGGTTTGAAGCCGGCCCAGGTGGGAAAGTCCATGAGACTTATCTCCAATTAGCCACCCAAAAGCCAGAAGAAGAACTGTGGCTCAAATGGTAGAGCACTAGCTTTGAGTACATAAGCTCAGGGACAGCATCCAGGCCTTGGTTCAAGCCCCAGGATTGGTTCAAAACTAAAAAAAAAAACCCAAAACCTAAGACTAAAGAAATCTCAGTTGTTGATATAAATTACTTTTTTAACAAGAAACGATTAAGATTCATTAATTCAATATTTTTTCCTGTAGTTAGTATATAAAATACAGATACACACACACACACACACACACACACACACACACACACACACACACACACACACACACACACACACACACACACACAGAAAGAGAGTCTGTAAATGTTACATTGTAAAAACATGTAACAATGTTAATACAGGATATATATTGTTACTTTACTGGATGACAACTCTTTATGTCAAGAGTATGTTTGACCAGTGCGTATTATGAAAGAAACACAAAATTCTTCATAATTCTGTTAAAGCTTTCATTTCTTTTTCATTTGCCTTCTAGTTAAATTTTTTGCTTAACTAAAAAAAAAAAAAAAAAAAAAAGAGAGAGAAAGAATAAGGAATGTGCTTTACCTGGAACATCATCATCCTCTTCATCGATGTCTTCTGGTTTTGGTGTTTTGCTATCCAACACTACAAAAAGTTTGTTTTAATATTAGTCATGAAAAATGAAGACCATTACAGAACACATGTAATTTGTCCTTTAATTCTTATCTAAATGTCATATAGCTGATCAGAAAAATCTAACTACTGGTCAATCTAAAATCATTTTTGTTTTTCTTAAGTAATATTAAAATCAGTAAAACGTTAAGCCGGGGGCTGGGAAGGTGGCTCAGTGGCAGAGCTCTTGCCTTGCATGCATGAGGCCCTGGGTTTGATTCCTCAGCACCACATAAGCAAAAAAAGAAAAAAGCCGGAAGTGGCGCTGTGGCTCAAGTGGTAGAGCACTAGCCTTGAGCTGAAGAGCTGAGGAACAGTGCCCAGGCCGAGTTCAGACCCCACAAGACCAAACCCCCTCCCCACAAAAAAAACAAAGAAAACTTGAAGCCGGGTGCCATTGGCTCACACCTGTAATCCTAGCTACTCAGGAGGCTGAGATCTCAGAAATGCAATTCAAAGCCAGCCTGGGCATTAAAGTCTGTGAGACGCTTATCTCCAATTAACCACCAGAAAACTGGAAGTGGTGCTATGGCTCAAGTGGTAGAGCACTAGCCGTGAGCTGAAGAGCACCCAGGCCCAGAGTTCAGGCTCCATGACTGGAAAAAAAACCAAAAAGCAAAAAAATCTCTTTAACTTAGATATACACAAAATATAGTGGCAAATGCAATACAAAGATAAATGTTATATGCAAAGTGGAATCATCTAGATAAACTAGAATAGAAATATATTATTATAGTTTGTTCATATTAGCCAAATAAATTAATTCATGATTTTTTTCATTTATTTTTAGTTTTAACTTTTTTTTCCTTTTTTTTTCCAATTATTTTTAATGCAGCATGAACACTGAAATATGAGTCTCTGATTTCCAGGGGCAAAAGATATATTTGATATCAAGACTAAAATTATCTTGGAAATTTATGAAGCATAAAATTTATGTAAAATAATTACATATTCCCTTTTGGTTGGGCACTGGTAGAGCACATCCCAGCACTATTTAAAAAAAATAAAAAAGGACTGGACATCTTTTAAGTTATCAAGTTCTTTAATTAAAGTGGGGAAGAAAAAGGGTACTAAATTACAATACTTACCTTGTCGGGGGAACTGTTCTGCTAACTTTCTGAGACTTGTTAAGCTGTCAGCCCCGAGCTGACTTAATATTCCAGGAAGCATTTCTGTGATTGGTTTAGCTTCTGCATGACCAGTAATTGCAAAGGTGTTAGCAGAGAGGGAAGCTTGGACTTTGGGGTTGTTGAAATGAATAACCGTCCCATCATCTTTAATCATGTTCACCTGTAAAATCACAAATTAAAAAAAATATATTTCACATGCTAAGTATAGCTGAACTAATAACTAAAATGTATCTTTTTTTCCTTTTTTCTTCTGTCACTTGTGGGGCTTGAACTCAGGGACTGGCCATTCACTCTCACTAAGCTTTTTCACTGAAAGCTAGTGCTCTACTACTTTGAGCCACAGAGCCACTGGTTTTCTGGTGATTAATTGGAAATAAGAATCTCATAGAGGCTGGGAAGGTGGCTCAGTGGTAGAGCGCTTGCCTTGCATGCTCCAGGCCCTGGGTTCAATTCCTCAGCACACGTAAGAAAAAAGCCGGAAGTGACTCTGTGGCTCAAGTGGTAGAGCGCTAGCCTTGAGCTGAAGAGCTGAGGGACAGTGCCCAGGCCCAGAGTTCAGGTCCCATGACCGGACCCAAAAAAAAAGAATCTCATAGAAGCTGAGCGCCAGTAACTCATGCCTATAATCCTAGTTACTCATGAGGCTGAGATCTGAGGATCATGGTTCAATGCCAGCCCAGGCAGGAAAGTCCTTAAGACTCTTTTTTTTTTTTTTTCCCCGGGTCCGGTCGTGGGGCCTGAACTCTGGGCCTGGGCGCTGTCCCTCAGCTCTTCAGTTCAAGGCTAGCACTCTACTACTTGAGCCACAGCGCCATTTGTGGCTTTTTTTTTTGCTTATGTGGTGCTGAGGAATTGAACCCAGGGACTCATGCATGCAAGGCAAGCATTCTACCACTGAGCCACCTTCCCAGCCCCAAAAGGAGGATAAATTTTTTTTTTTTTGTCTCCTAGGCTCTTTCCCTCAGCTCTTCAGCTCAAGGCTACTGCTCTACCACATGAGTCACAGTGCCACTTCCGGGCTTTTCTGTTTATGTGGTGCTGAGGAATTGAACCCAGGGCCTCATGCATGCAAGGCAAGCGCTCTACCACTGAGCCACCTTCCCAGCCCTGTCCTTAAGACTCTTTATCTCCAATTAGCCACCAGAAAACTGGAAGTAGTGTTGTGGCTCAAGTGGTACAGTGCTAGCCTTGAGCTGAAGAGCTGAGGGACAGTGCCCAGGCCCAAAGTTCAAGCCCCACAACCGACAAAAAAAAAAAAAAGAATCTCACAGACTTTCCTGCTTAGTTGACTTTGAACTGAGACCCTCAGATCTCAGCCTCCTGATTAGCTAGGATTACAGGTGTGAGTCACCAGTGCCCAGCTTAAAACAGTATCTTTGGGCTGGAAAGGTGGCTCAGTGGTAGAGTGCTTGCCTTGCATGCATGAGGCCCTGGGTTCAATTCCTCAGCACCACATAAGCAGAAAAAGCCAGAAGTGGCGCTGTGGCTCAAGTGGTAGAGTGCTAGCCTTGAGCTGAAGAGCTGAGGGACAGTGCCCAGGCCCAAAGTTCAGGCCCCACAAGTGAGCAAAAAAACAAAAAACAAAAAACAAAACAGTAAGGGCTGGAAGGTGGCTCAATGGTAAAGCACTTGCCTTGCATGCATGAGGCCCTGGGTTCGATTCCTCAGCATCATATAAGCAAAAAGAAAAAAGCCGTAAGTGGCGCTGTGGCTCAAGTGGTAGAGTGCTAGTCTTGAGCTGAAGAGCTGAGGGACAGCGCCCAGGCCCAGAGTTCAGGATCCACAACCGGACCCAAAAAACAGAAAAAAACAAAAAACAACCAGTATCTCTTAAGAAGCTATTTACACAATTATGGTTTTCTCCTTAATAGTCATGGAGTCTCAAAGTAGCAATTAGTTAAGTAATGTATATGGGTGGAGAAAGATCCTAGTAATAGAATTTAATGGTGCAGATGAACAATTTATTAGGATGGTCAAACTATAAATTGTATTGTAGAATCTACACTTCAAATTTAGACTTTTTTTTTTTTTTTTTTGGTCGGTCATGGGGCTTCAACTCTGGGCCTGGGCGCTGTCCCTCAGCTCTTCAGATCAAGGCGAGCGCTCTACCACTTGAGCTACAGCGCCACTTCCGGTTTTGTGGTGGTTTATTGGAGATAGGAGTCTCACAGTCTCTCCTGCCCGGGCTGGCTTTGAACCGCGATCCTCAGATCTCAGCCTCCTGAGTAGCTAGGATTACAGGCGTGAGCCACCAGCGCCTGGCTTCAAAATCAGATTTCTATAAGAAAGAAGTTCATGGAAGTGGTGCTGTAGCTCAAGTGGTAGAGCACTCGCTTTGAGCTGAAGAGTTGAGGGACAGCGCCCAGGCCCAGAGTTCAAGCCCCACGACCGACAAAAAAAAAAAAAGAAAGAAGTTCATATATATATAAATATATATTTTTAAACTGAATTATCTACCAAAAACTAGCTTCATAATGATATTACCCATTTTCCTATTCAATTTACACTATCAAACAAAATCAGTACAATTATCACTTGGTGGTGTAGCATCTTACTTGAGGGATAGATTTCAAATCTGTTGTGATTTTAAAGTCTGTAAGTAAAATGTCTCAAATTCCAATACTTGAGACAAATTGTGCCTACAGTGTACCAAAGAAATTATTTGTCTTATGTGAGGGTATCGGAGCTTGAGTTCAGGGCTTGAGTGCTCAAGGCTGCTGCTCTACCACTTGAGATACAGTTCCTCTTCTGGCTTTTTTTTTTTTGGTCGGTCATGGGGCTTGAACTCTGGGCCTGAGCGCTGTCCCTCAGCTCTTCAGCTCAAGGCTAGCGCTCTACCACTTGAGCTACAGTGCCACTTCCGGTTTTCTGGTGGTTTATTGGAGATAAGAGTCTCATGGTCTCTCCTGCCCGGGCTGGCTTTGAACTGCGATCCTCAGATCTCAGCCTACTGAGTAGCTAGGATTACAGGCGTGAGCCACCAGCGCCCGGCTCTCTTCTGGCTTTTTATTAGTGGTTAAACTATATTCCCAGTCTTTTGCTTGTTGAAGTCTGGTCTTGAACTCCTTATATAGCCCAGGCTGTTCTTGGAACTCTCAATCCTCCTGATGCCAGGATTACAGTATGCATCACTACCAATTATGTGATTTAAACCCCCCCCCCCCCCCCCCGCAAAAAATTGCCGGGTGCCTGTGGCTCAAGCCTATAAACCTAGCTACTCAGGAGGCTAAGAGCTGAGGATCACGGTTCAGAGCCAGACTAGGCGGGAAAGTCCATGAAACTCTTATCTCCAATTAACCCCTCAAAAACCCCATGATGGACAAAAAAGAAAAAAAAACACCAAATCTCAACTAAGCAAGCTACTTATAGTTTTGAGAATTAATAGATGTCTTAAAATCAAGTTTTATTGCTACTCCTTATATGTGATGGCACTTTTTTTTTTGTCAGTGGTGGGGCTTGAACTTGGCCTAGATGCTGTCCCTGAGCTCTTCAGCTCAAGGCAAGTGCTCTACCACTTGAGCCACAGTGCCACTTCTGGTTTTCTGGTGGTTAATTGGAGATGAGTCTCAGGGACTTTCCAGCCTGGGCTGGCTTTGAACCGAAATCCTCAGATCTCCACCTCCTGAGTAACAGAAGATGACTTTTCTAGTGTCAAAAATCAATTCAGATCCAGATGCCAGTGACTCACACCTATAATCTGAGCTACTCAGGCAGCTGAGATCTGAGAATGATGACTGAAAGACAATCTAGACAGAAAAATCTGAGAGATTCTTATCTTCAATAACCAGCAAGGAGCAGGCAATGGTACAGTGCCAGTCCTGAGCTGAAGCTCAGAGTTTAAGCCCCTGTGTTGGTACACACATTTAAAAAAAAATTAATTCTAGGGGGAACAAATTTGACAAGAAATGTACTTATTATGTTACTTATGTAACTGTAACCCCTCTGTAAATCACCTTGACAATAAAAAAAAGTAAAAAAAAAAGTAAGAAGACTAAAAGAAGTATGAAAGCAGAAAAATTAATTCTGCTATTACTTATTTCTATATTATTTCTGATGTAGGAGGCTAGCCTGATCTAAGATACCTAGCAAGACTCTTATTTTGGGCTGGGAAGGCGGCTCAATGGTAGAGTGCTTGCCTTGCATGCATGAGGCCCTGGGTTCGATTCCTCAGCACCACATAAGCAAAAAGAAAAAAACCGGAAGTGGCGCTATGGCTCAAGTGGTAGAGTGCTATCCTTGAGCTGAAGAGTTGAGGGACAGCGCCCAGGCCCAGACCGGACCCCCCACTCTTCAAAAAAAAAAAAAAAAAAAAAAGACTCTTATCTTAAAAGAGCCAGGGGCACATGGTCTAAGCCTGAAATCCTAGCTATTCATGAGGCTAAGATCTGGAGGATGTCAGTGGAAGCCATCCACAGAAGTGGAGATGGGAGATTTCCCAGAGACTACATCTCCAATTAATTAGCAAAATGTCAGACTGGAGCTGTGGCTCAAATGTGTCAGTTATGAGCAAGAAAACTGAGTGAGAGAGGCTGGGAAGGTGGCTCAGTGGTAGAGTGCTTGCCTTGCAGGCATGAGGCCCTGGGTTGGATTCCCTAGCACCACACAGAGGCCCTGGGTTGGATTCCTCAGCACCACACAAACAGAAAAAGATGGAACTGGTGCTGTGGCTCAAGGGGTAGAGCAGTAGACTTGAGCTGAAGAGCTGAGGGACAGCGCCCAGGCTCAGAGTTTAAGCCCCACGACCAACAACAACAACAACAACAAAAACAACAAAAAAGAAAACTGAGTGAGAGAGCTGAAGGCCCTAAATTCAAGTCCTATTACTGGCATAAAAAGAAAAAGAGAAAGAAAAACAATCTTATTTTACATTAAAATTCAAGATTAGTTTTATTATGTACAAATAACTAGGTCTGAAAAATATAAAAATCATTATTTACTAAAATCATTTGATTTCATGCAAAAAGCAAAATCAACAGCTTGTCTTTCAAAGACATCTGAGTCACAGATGTCTTTCCAGCTGATATTTTACTTTTGAAAAGTAGACAATTACGTGTATATGTGCTATCTGCCCATTATATTAAGTTTCAAAGTGATCATACCTCTTCAATACCAGCTATATTATTCACAGCCAGTTTTTTTAGAGAACTCTGAAGCTTTTTGTCATCAGCTGTAGCTGTCCTGTGTACCACCTTCTTCTTTCTGCGAGCTGTACCCTGAAAATAAATTAGATGTTAGCACACCTCACACCTGACAATAGCAATTATATTTTTCTATCCACAATAATAATCTTAAAACTTACATTTTTTTTTAAAGGGTAGATAAGCTTTATTTTATTTATTTATTTTTTTATTGTAAAGATACTATACAGAGGGTTACAGTTACATGAGTGAGGTAATGAGTACACTTCCTCTTGAACATTGTTACCCCCCTCCATTGTTTAAAACTTACATTTAAAGAAAGGAACTAAATAGTAATAATTTACTAAAAAAAAAAAGAACCTAATAGAAATAATAATAATTAGTAAAAAACTAAATAATTACTAGCAATAATACTACTAATAATTAATATTACTAATAGTAATAGTAGTAATAATTAGACTGTTCAGAGTTGTCTGTTAGCCTATACCAGATTTTTTTTTTTTTGGTCGGTTGTGGGGCTTGAACTCTGGCCTTGGGTGCTCTTCAGCTCAAGGCGAGTGCTCTACCACTAGAGCCACTTCTGTTTTTTTTTCTGGTGGTTTACTGGAGATAGGAGTCTCATGGTCTTTCCTGCCCGGGCTGGCTTTGAACTGTGATCCTCAGATCTCAGCCTCCTGGGTAGCTAGGATTACAGGCGTGAGCCACCAGCGCCCAGCAATACCAGATTTTAAAACCAGGTCTTGCCCGTTCTTATTCTTTTTCTTATATATTATGTCTCAAAATACTGTTTGCTAATAAAATGTATTTCATAACTTCAGAACAACTTAGTGTACTTTATAACAATGTTGAAACATAATAAGAAATTTTTCCTAAAATCCTTACCAATCTTTGCCAATACAGTCAGAGGCCTGTATAACTTTTTTTTTTTTTTTGCTGGTCCTGGGCTTCAACTCAGGGCCTGGGACTGTCTGTGACTTCTTTTTCTCAAGGATAGCACTCTATCACTTGAGCCACAGTGCCACTTCTGGCCTTTTCTGTTTATGTGGTACTGAGGAATTGAACCCAGGGCTTCATCCATGCTAGGCAAGCACTTTACCACTAAGCCACATTCCCAGACACCCCCCACCCCCCAGCTAAACTGTTAAGAATTATAATATACTAAGGAGTAAATTGCTATTATATAAGCATTCTGTAATTTGAGAATCTAGGAATGAAGAAATATCAAGTTATTACTTTAAGTTCTTAACCTATAGTAACAAAGTAAGGTCAATAAATACACAAACAAGTTAGATCATTTCAAACCAGATAAAGGCTATGATAAAACAAAAATAGACCATGGTAACTAAGAGTGCCTGGGTGGCAACAAAGCATAAAGTTCCTTTATTAAAATGTCTAGGCAAATATCCTCTGAAAAAGTGACATGAATTGAGACCCACAACTAAGGGAAGAGTGGTCCAAGCACAATGACACAAGACTAGAGAAAGTGAGCCAATATGACTAGAGCAGAGCAAACAATAAGAAGAGAAAAATAAAATCAGAAAGATAGGCAAGGGCCAGATGGAGTAGCCTAGAATACAATGGGCAGAAATTGGATTGTATTCTAATTGCAACGGGAAGACATTCAATGGTGCTAGGCATCGGAATGACTTGACCTGATTTATGTATTTATGACTAAGATTGCTGTGTAGATAAAGGACTACAATGATACTATAATGACAGCAGTCAGAATATTCCTGCAACAGTCCAGGGGAGAGAGAGCAGTGTGGCAGGAGAGACAGTCAGAGTCAGACTGTCACAGAGACAACATTTCTGATGGATTAGATGTAGAACATGAGGAAGAGAAGAATCTAGGATGATGCTTAGGATTTTGGCCTGAGCAAACAGGATGAAACTTACATTATTTATTAAGCTAGGAAAAGTTGCCAGCGCCAGTGGCTCACACCTATAGCTATTTAGGAGGCTGAGATCTGAGTGTCGTGGTTCAAAGTCAGCTTGAGCAGGAAAAGTCAATGAAATTCTTATTTCCAATTAAATACACAAAGCCAAAAGTAGAGCTGTGGCTCAAGTGGTAGAGCGCTAGCCTTAAGAATAAAAGTGTAGGGCTGGGAAGTTGGCTCAGTGGTAGAGTGCTTGCCTTGCATGCATGAGGCCCTGGGTTCGATTCTTCAGCACCACATAAACAGAAAAAAAAAAAAAGCTGGAAGTGGCGCTGTGGCTCAAGTGGTAGAGTGCTAGCCTTGAGCTGAAGAGCTGAGGGACAGCGCCCAGGCCCAAAGTTCAGGCCCCACAACCGGACCAAAAAAAAAAAAGAATAAAAGCGTAGGGACAGTGCCCAAGTCCAGAGCAGGGACAGTGCCCAAGTCCAGAGTTCAAGTCCCATCACTGGCAAAAAAAAAAAAAAAAAAAAGGAAAAGTTCATTTCTATATTGACACTTTGGAATTCTAAGTAATTTTTCACTGAAAAGAATATTCAAAATGGATTAAATTCCTAAATCAGTTTAAAAATGTAAACTGAGAATAGTCCTAAAATACTACCAAAAGCAGTCTAAATTTTGAGGGTTAAATTTCTCTGAAGCAGAAGGCATGAGGATATAGGATAGGGGTTTCAGTCTCTGAGTAGCTCCTGCAGTGGTCCTCAGGGACTAGACCTTACAGAAAGGAGACTTGGGCTATAGTCTCAGCAGCTCCAATGGGAGAAAAGAGCTCTGATGACAGGCACTGTGATGACCTCCAGCAGCTGAAGGATCACTACTTAGATAGATGGATGGTAATTTATTGTGAGGCATTCCTGATTCAAAGATAGCTCAGTTGTTGGTAGCTCAAATTCAACTTGTCTAAATGTTATCAGTCCACCAATCTTAAATTTTACAGCTGGCAGTAACACCATATACCCACTTTTTTTTTTTTTTAATGGTAGTGGGACTTGAACTCTGGGCCTGGGCATGGTCCCTGAGCCCTGCAGCTCAAGGTGAGTGCGCTACTACTTGAACCACAGCACCACTTCTGGTTTTCTGGTGGGTAATTGGAGATAAGACTTTCTTGCCCAGGCTGGCTTTGAACTGTGAGCCTCAGATCTCAGCCTCCTGAGTAGCTAGGATTACAGGCGTGAGCCATCGGCACCTGGCTACCCACTTTCTTAAAAACAGAAGCTTAGGGGTCACCTCAGTTTTCTCTCAGCCTTCATCTCCCATCAATCATTAAGCCATACCAATTTCAACTCCTAAATTTGTGCCCCATATAGCACTGCAATAGACCCTAAATTGTTCCCAATTAAACTTTCATTCTACCTTCCAAACTGCCAGAAATGACCTTTCTAAAATAGCTGCCATTTCTTCTTAAAAGTCCTTCATTAGCTACCTACTATATATAGAATAAAATCACAAGTTCCTCAGTATGGCATATAAAACTGATGGAATCACAAACTACCAGGTCATTTCATTTCCTACATTCTCTATCAATTAAAACCTCTAAACTCTGCCTGGGTGCTGGTGGCTCATGCCTATAAATCCTAGCTACTCAGGAGGCTGAAATCTAAGGATTGCAGTTCAAAGACAACCTGGGCAAGAAAGTCTGTGAGTCTCTTATCTCCAATTAGTCACCAAAAATGGAGCAACAGATCTGTTTGTGGTAGAGAGCTAGCCTTGAGCACAAAAGCACAAGGATGGCACCAGGTCCTGAGTTCAAGCCCTAGGACTCACACACACAAAAAAAACAAACTCTAAAACTCTAGTTGTACCAAACTAAAGCAAGCCATTCCATTAAATACCATATATTTCAGCACCCCGTGCTTTGGCATATGTACAAGCGACAATCCTCTTTTTTTTTTGCCAGTTCAGGGGCATGAACTCAGGGCCTAGGTTCCGTCCCTGAGTAAGGCTAGCATTGTACCGTTTGAGCCACAGTGACACTTCTGGCTTTTTCTGTTTGTGTGGTATGAATTGGAACCCAGGGCTTCATGCATGCTAGGCAAGCACTCTACCACTAAACCACATTCCCTACCCGACAATCCTCTTTTTATCCTATCTTATGAACCTTTTCATTTGACTAAGTGTTTTTCTGTTGCCTTTTTTTGGTTAGGGTTGTAGGGCTTGAATGCTGGGCCTAGGCGTTGTCCTCAGCTCTTCAGCTCAAAGCGAGCTATCTACCACTTAAGCCACAGAACTACTTCCAGTTTTCTGAGTGGTTTGTTGGAGATAAGAGTATCACAGACTTTCCTGCCAAGGCTGGCTTTGAACTGTGATCCTCAGATCTCAGCCTCCTGACTAGCTAGGATTACAGAAGTGAGCCACTGGCACTGGCCTGTTGCTTTTTTTGTGTTAGGGCCTGAGTACTGTCCCTGAGCTCTTTTGCTCAAGGGTAGTACTCTACCACTTTGAACCACAGCTTCGCTTCTAGTATTCTGGTTAATTAGAGATAAGTCTCATGGACTTTCCTGCCTGGGCTGGTTTCAAACCACAATCCTCAGAGCTCAGCCTCCCGAGGAGCTGGTATTACAGGCGTGAGCCCCTAGTGCCCAGCTCATGTTCGTACTCACCAACATAGAAAATGGGTAGGAACTTGTGGGGACATTAATAAACTATAACATTAGCTCAAACATCACTACACTTCCTGTAAACCTATCTGCACTATAGGATCATGCAGTTAAGACAAGGTAACCTTAGCACCTGGCATGCCCTGGAGATGAATAAAACATCATAGCTAGCACTTATTAAACATCGACCCAGGGCCAGAAACCATGTTTGATATTTCATAATAATTACTCCAGTGTTTAGAAGCATCTTTTAGAATTATTTCTATTTTACAGATGAAAAGTGGAAGCTCAGCAAAAATGGGTAATTTGTTCATGTCACAGAATGTTGTCAGGATTCAATGGTGGCCATTGCCACTGCACCACTGGGAGTAAGGTTCTTGTTATATTTAGATCGAGACAGATTATTTTCAAATTGGAATGTGGTTGGATCTTAATTATTGAAAAGATTTTTATACTTTCAATGACCACAAATTCAAAATACTAATACTACCTGATAATCATACATTCTCCTGTCAAGTTTTCTTATACCACACTCACCTTGCCCCCTATCCGGACCTGAGCCTGAAGTTTGGCTAACTTTTCTTGATTCATGCTGTTGATAAATCTAGGGGGGGAAAAATAGATTTGTTAAAGTCACCATTTAACCAGAGATTTAAAAACCGTTTATGTAAACAGTACTTCCTGGTTCACTGAACTTTCCATATACATTAACATCATGATCCTAAGTCCTGACTGTTCTAGCTTTCATAAACCTGAGATCTAATTATATCACAAAGGAGTTAAAAACACAAACAGAAAAGAGAAGAGCACTGTGGATGTAGCTCAGTGGTGGAATGTTTGCTTAGCATGGTCAAGACCCTGAGTTCTGAGTTCAATCCCCAGCACCATTAAAAAAAAAGTCAGTCATCTATTTGAAGATTCCTCCCTTAAAATATAGTTCAGTTCTTCAGCATTCAGTAAAACCTAACCCATTATGAAATCTGTTATCACACCAGTTTTTTCTCCGTATGACTTCTATGCAGAGAACTGACCAAATATTATTAGCAAAACCCTTCAAGTAGATCATTTTCTTCCTAATCACACTCTGTATGTCTTATAAACCATAAAGTTGTTAAAAAATTTCTTAAAGGGGGAAAAAAATCAGGCTGGGCAAATAAGAAACTCAACAATAGACTGTGTAAAGGTTAAGATATGAAACAGTCATGTCCTTTATTCAAGGTCAGATGACTTATTAATAATGGGAAAATAGAAACAAACTTCCAGACATTCAGTGATTCTGCAGCACTGCAGAATTTATTAAATACCCTGTGTTTATGTACTAGGTCACATCTGATAAGCTATTCTTACATTTAGGGTAAAATGTTTAACTGCACAATTTAAAGTACAGTTTGACTACATTAATACTAAGTAACTGCAGAGGAAGATTCTTAAAACTGCTCTCGATTTTAAAGATTTTAAGAACATAATAAAATTACAAATTCTAGCCTGGTCAAATGGTAGTCCTACAAAGGAAAACAACATTCCACACTATATAAACAAATAAAAGCCAATTTAAGTCTTATTTGACTTGTTCCATGGCTTAATAGGTCATTACTGAGATGTGGAGGGAAAGCTGTTATTAAACTTTTTTGTCCGAGTCTCTAACTCCTGCAACATCATTTCTCACATGAAAAGACATTGTCTTCTACATTTGGAAAATGAAAAAAAAATTATGTAATTACTAACCAATCTGTATTGACACTGAATTAATCTGTGTATATCTTCGCTTAAAAGCTAAAGTTCAGTTCCCAAATGCAAATTCTAACCTATGATTTCTTAGTCTTTGTCCAGGATTACATTGCAATGCTCAAGCAGCTTTTATGGGAGGAATTGTGTACAATCCAAAACAAAGAATCTTACACGTGTGTCAATCTTAGCTCTGCCACAGACTTAACACTGCTGATATAAACCTTAATTTTGATACTCAGATCATTACAGAAAAGGTCTAATACTGACTTTTCTCAAAGAATGTGGCCATGAAGATAAAGTAATAGAGTGCTTGAGGAATTTCTTGCAAAAAGGGAGTCAAGTGAAAAATGTTACAACTAAACCTTTTAGGACTCTTCTGCATTTTCAAATAACACTCCCCAAGAGATCCAATAGGGAAGTCAAAACAGAGTCCTGACTTGTTTGAAATGAAAGCAAGAGCATATTTAACTGTGTAAATAAAAATGTAATGAAAAAAAATGAAAGAATAAATTCTATTCCAGGTGGTTAAGAAACCAGAAAGGAGAAATCTTATTTCCAAGGAGTACTTCAGAGAAAAGAAATTTTAGGGAAATTAGAAGCACAAGGCAGCAGGGAAAAAAGAAATGAGCTATTTTATTAATAAATTGGGGGTAAATAGTAAATTAATAGACATAGTAAATAAAGTGATTTGGACTCAATCTATAAGAGATGTCAATTTCAGTCGACCTCAACAATCACATGGTTTAATATCCTATTATGCAGTCTTTATTGTATCTGTCACTTATGTTTTATATGATGTCATCTCAAATATCTGCTATCAACAGCAGGGTATGAATTATAAACAATTTACCTCTTTCCCAACTTAACAAAAATGAGAGGGCTAGAGGTGTGGCCCAAGTGGTACAGTGACTGCCTAGCAAGTAAGCTTGAGGCCCAGTCCAAACCCCAGCACTGAAAAAAAAAAACCCAAAACCAACAACAAAACACTAAAAAATAAAATAAGCCAAGGGTCTTAAGAGAGTTCTTTTTTACGACCCAAATGGAGAAGTAATTTCCTTAAAACTACATAATTCATTGGATTCCTTGGGGCTCCAAAGGTCATGTAAGCACTTTCCTCAAGGAGGAAATCAAGGAGGTCAATCAATACTTGATATCGGGTGCCTCAAGTCCAAGCCTTGTGGCGGGCACTTTCACACGCATCGTATTTTGCACATTTTTTTTTTTTAATTCTGTGAGGTTTCTCTTAAGAGAAGCACAGGCTGTGGAATCCGGAAGCCCAAGGTTCTACCACTTCTGGCTTCAAAGCAAAGTTACTTTACTTCTTTGGATTTGTGTTCCTCCCACTTCAGTTAAGGGCGTTACCATCACCGACTTCCCAGAGTGGCTTTGAAGGTGAAAGGTCAGATTATCCAGCCCGGGATCCGGCTCCCGGAGATACTTCCTACTCGGTAACACCGTTACCCGTCCCGGCGGAGGGGTGGGGGAACAGCTGGGGTAGAGTGAAAGAACGTGGGAACGGAAGTTGAAACCGCCATTCACTAGCTGTGTAACACATTTACCGGCCGGGTCAGTCCCCCGGCAGCGTGCTGGGGTGTTCAAGGATGGGCTCGTTTCTCCTAAAGGCAGGCCGGATGTAAACAAACACTACCGTAACTAGGTGAAGAGCGCGGCCACCGAGCGACCGGTGCCCAGGGCTTGGAGGTGGTGGTGGTGGGTGGGGAGACTGTAGTGCTAACCTCAGTTTCCCAATCTGTAGACCGGAAGGATCAAACCGGATGATCCCAGATCGGGTGTATAAAGCTCAAAGCTTCTGACATTGTTGCTGTGGTTGAAGGAGGCGGAGGAGCGGGACGGCGGGGGAGGGGTCCCCTCGCCTCCTGGGACAGGATCGGAGCTGGGGCCACAGCCTGGGTCCCCGGGCTCGCCTCCACGGAGGTGCGGTGGTGCGGGGGGACCTTCCCTCCGGTGCCGACCCCCAGCTGCGCCGCCGGTAACCGACAGGCCAAGCCGGCCGCCTCCGCCCCCACTCCCCGCGCCGCGGCGGAAGTGGCAGCCCGAACGGTTGGCGGGTGTCGAGAGAAGAGGGCGTGGGGTGGAGGGGAGACCGTGCGCAGCGGCCTATGGCCGTGGAGCGGCGGGACCGCCGGGGGTCTCACCTGAAACAGGGAGGGTCCTCCAACACCAGCACGCGGCAAGAGCAAGATGGCTGCCTCACCCGACACAGAGAAAGACAGCGGCGGGAGCGGTGGCGGCGGCGGCGGGAGCTGGAGCGGGGGCCCACGTGACACGGCGGCTCCGCCTCCCCCTCGGGGGTGGCCTATACCGGGTGCGCGCCACCCAACTACAAGGCCCAGCCTGCTCTGCGCACCCCAATATTTCTATTGGCGGCGGGTGCACGGGGCTCGCGCGGCCTCCGGGCTGCCAGCGTCCCATTGTGTCTGCCCTGGATTTCGGGGGCAAAGGGCGGCCTTGTGAATGTGCGGTGTGTGCGCGCGCGTGTACTGGATTCGGACGTCTCTTGCCCCTTGCATTAACTACATAACTGTTTAATCGTAGGAGAAAAGATGGGACATGTTGACCTATTATCGAGTGTGTGTGTGGGGGGCGGGGAATCGTGAAGACATTCTCCATCACCACAAAAAGACATACCACTCGCCATGCCTGCAGTGGTGTGTTTCCTGGAACCTTTGGTCTACCTCGTCGCTGGTGCCATCAGAGATCCTCCTCCCCCTCCCTCCCCGAGTCTGGCTTTCTTGAAGTTTGCCGCTAGCCCTGAGTGGAAGACTTTGCGGTTGCCTAGGAAACGTACGATCCAGGCCCGGCACAGCCAAACGGTTCCCCCCACCCCCAAATCTCCCAAGACCTGAGCAGGAACGAACAATGAAATCCAGTTGTCCAGTCTCTTTTTGCAGAGGAATTTGAGAAAGCTGGGGGGGGGGGATCATTTGCATTTTAAATATGAAGTGTAGCGGTTCCCGGCGGGAGGGGTAAGACCGGCAAGCAGAAGCAATCAGCAAAGGATCACTGAACCTCTTCCTTGCCCTCACTTTATCTTTTTTTGGGGGGCATTTCTCTTCCTATGTCCCGGACCAAAGGAAAGCAACTCACGCTCCACAACTACTCCAGCATCCTGCTTCGTGATCGGCGCCTTTAAACTCACTCGGCCCCACACCAGACCCCCGGAGGCGCCACCCACATCCGTCTAACATCACTTCCTTTAAAGTTTGGGAGAGGAAAAGAAAATCTGTGAAGGGGTTGGGCTGAGCCGTCGGTGGGCAGCCGTGTGGATCTTCTGCTAGGAATCCGACCCGGTGTCCGCTCAGTCCGGTGTCCCTGCGCACCGACCGCCATGGAGACGTGCCTGCGTCCCGGGGCCACCTGTTTGCTGGGCTTCGGTTTGCTGCTCCTCGTCACCTCTTCTCTTGGACGCGTTGGGCTTGGAAAGGGTCAGACCACATTCTTGTCTTAATGTTTAGCAATCCCGGACCCTAGTCTGGGGTAACCCCTTGCTGTCTAATCTCTTAGATCTCGCCAGATTCCTTCTCATCTTCCCTAACCGCTCTTGGGGGGGGGGGGCGGGGAGGGAGGGCAATTTCTTTGAAGTTGGGAGTAGCGAGCCTGGGAAGGTTAAGAAAGGGAAGTTGTACTTAATAGAAGTCTTTAATTCTTGGGCCTAGGGAAGAAATGGCCCTTACATCAAGTTAAGCTTGCTTAAAAACGGAAAGTCGAGCTAGTTTGTAGGCTCTTGGGAACGGTCACACCTACCCTCCAGGAAGAAATGGAGTGGAGTTTTGGGGGCATGGATTAGTTTTGCTTGCCTTGGGTCTGAAGATACTTAACTTTAACGAGTAGAGCCTTCTCCAGGACCTGGGATAATAATAGCACCTATTTCCCAGGGAAATGCATTAGAAAGGGCTGAATGAATAACAGAAGGTCTGTTAGAGGGTCACCAACGTTATTTTTAGTGTGGCTCAGCTAGTATGTTGGGAGCAACTTTTTTTTTTTAGGAGCCAGGGATCACTGGTTGTGAATAAGAAGTTAGGTGGTATGACCATCTCTATTCCAGCCTGTTAATTTAATCTTATCTTCGTTCTAAACCTGAACACCTTTCTCTTCACGCTTTTCTAGTCTGTGTGTGTGTGTGTGTGTGTGTGTGTGTGTGTGTGTGTGTGTGTGTGTGTGTGTGTGTGTTGATACTGAGGGCTTCTTGCATGGCTCTTCCCCCTCAAAGCTGATGCTCTACCACTTTAGTCACACACCTCCACTTTGGCTTTTTGCTAATTAATTGGATCTCAGGGACTTTTCTATTCTAGCTGGCTTCAAACTGTGATCCTCAGATCTTGGACTGGATCCGCAGATCTCAGTTTCTTGAGTAGCTAGGTTCACAGGCCTGAGCTACCAGTGCCTAGCCCCCAGCATTTATTAAAATTGGATTGACTATAAACTGTAAGTCTGTGAGACTCTTCTCTCTAGTAAACTATTCTGAAAAATCCAGAAGTGGTGCTGTGGCTCAAGTGGTTGAGTGCTATTCTTGAGCACAAAGAGGCTCAGGGATAGTACCTAGGCCCTGAGTTCAAGCTCCAGGACTGGCAAAAAACAAACAACAACAACAAAAACTAGAAAGGCTGACATTTAGTTAAGTTCAGTAACAGGTTATTGAGGAGATGGTATTTGTGAGTTTCTATTTGTGATGGAAATGGTGAAGCTACACAATGAGTCCTGTTAGGTCAGTATGTTTTAAATGCTGGGAATCCCATTGTAAAACAGGCTACTGTGCATTTAGAATGAAACTATAAATACTGAGGCAGAGCGAAGAGTACAATGTTTGTATATGTGTGTAGAACCAAATTTTACTGACACTTGCCTGTTTTGATGCCTAAGGCCTGTGGCTTAACCTCTTAGTTCTTCAACAAAGGAAATGGGCATAATAACAACTGCTTCAGACACTCAACAGGTATTTTGCCATGTTCCAATTTCTATGTTAGGCCTAGGTAATCCCTTGCAGTCTTGTATTCAGTATCAGTTGTTAGACCATAAGCTCTATGTGGTTGTTTGGGATCCTCAGTGGAACTGGTTCTGATCTATATGATTTTGGGGCATGGGTTAGTTTGGTTTGGTTCGGTTTGGTTTGGTCTGTCGTGGGGCTTGAACTCTGGGCCTGGGCCCTGTCCCTGAGGTCTTCAGCTCAAGGCAAATAAGTACTCTACTACTTGAGCCACAGTGCCACTTCTGGTTTTCTGGTCGTTAATTGGAGATAAGAGTCTCATGGACTTTCCTGCCCAGGCTGGCTTTGAACCTCAATCCTCAGATCTCAGCCTCTTTAGTAGCTAGGATTACAGGCATGAGCCACCAGCACCCAGCTTAGTTTTGTTTCTGTTTATTTGAGTTTAAGGCCTCAAGCTTTTACTTGGCTTTTTGGATTAAGACTGCTGCTCTACCACCTGAGCTACACCTCCATTTTTTTGCTAGTTAATTGGAGATAATAGTCTCACAGAGGGCTGGGACGTGGTTTAGTGGTAGAGTGCTTGCCTAGCATACATGAAGCATAATACCCAGGGTTCGATTCCACAGTACCACATAAACAGGAAAAGCTGGAAGTGGCGCTGTGGCTCAAGTGATAGAGTGCTAGCCTTGAGCAAGAGAAGCTCAGAGACAGTGCCCAGGCCCTGAGTTAGAGCCCCAGGACTGGCAAAAAAAAAAAAAAGGGGTGGGGTGGGGCTGGGAATGTAACTTAGTGGTAGAGTGATTGCCTAGCATGCATGAAGCCCTGGGTTCCATTCCTGTACTACATACACAGAAAAAGTCAGAAGTGGCATGGCTTAAGTTGTAGAGTGCTAGTCTTTAGCAAAAAAAGCTCAAGGACAGCGGCCAAGCCCTGAGTTCAAGTCCCAGGACTGGCAATACAAACAAAACAAAAAAAGAGTCTTACAGATTTCTCTAACAGGCTTGCTTCAAAGCTTGGTCCTAAAATTTCAGTCTCCCATGTAGCTAGGATTACAGGTGTGAGCTAGTTAGTATAAACTTCCTTATAATATGGCAGCTGGATTTGTTTGTTTTTGTTGTTGTTTTTTTGCCAGTCCTAGAGCTTGAACTTAGGGCCTGGGCACTGTCCCTGAACTTCATTTGCTCAAGGCTAGCACTCTACCATTTGAGCCACAGTGCCTTTTCTGGCTTTTTTCTATTTATGTGGTACTGAGGAATCGAACCCAGGGCTTCATGCATGCTAGGCAAGCATTGTTTTTGTTGCCAGTCCTGGGGCTTGAACTCAGGGCCTGGGCACTGTCCCAGAGCTTCTTTTGCTCAAGGTTAGCTCTCTACCACTTGATCCATAGCACCACTTTCCAGCTTTTTCTGTGTATGTTGTATTGAGGAATCAAAGTCAAGGCTTCATGCATAATAAGCAAGCACTCTACCACTAAGCCACATGCCCAGCCCATTGGCAACTGGGTTTGAAGGGTGAGTATATATCACAATGGAGCAAGGTGGAAGTATATGGTATCTTTATCAATTAACCTTGTAAATAACTTCAAATCAGTCTACTCCATGTGGGCAGGTTCAAGAGGAAGGGACATTAACATCTCCACCTCCTTCCCTCATGAGAAGTATATTAAGATCACATTTTTAAGAAAAGCATGTGAGATAGAAGGTATTGTTGCCGCTGTCTTTGGTGAATATTATCAGTCGCAATGAGCCAGTTTTATTTCTGTCTTGTTTATGCTCAGGAGTATTGAAAGAGAAATGAATAAGAAACACAACCACTGTGATCTCTGTCATTTTCTGCAGTCAGTCACATAACAGTACAGTATGTACTTTGAGTAGGAAAAAATATCAGGTTAACTGCAGCAGCATATAGAAGGACAGCTCAGTACAAAAGGTGCTGTGTTGTGAAGATTCAGTAAAAAAAAAAAACAACAGATACTTAACATTGTGTCACATTTTTAGAAAGTAGTAAAGGTGAACTAATTATTTCATGAAAGAATGTTTAACTAGTGCTAGGGATTAATATCAAACTTTTATATATCTCCTGCTTATCGATTCTTAGGACATAGATTATACTCTTCTCACCTTCCTTCCCAGAAAAGTGCTATCTGAGCTGAGACTGTGGGCTCACACTGGTAATCCTTGTTACTCTGGAGGCAGAGATAGATGGTGGTTTGAGGCCAGTTTCAGCAAAAAGTGTCCAAAATGAATCGCAACTAATAGCTGGGTGCAGTGGTGCACACCTATTTTTCCAGCTATGTGGTTGGATAGGAAGCATCATGGTCCCAGCCCTGCTTTGGCACAAAGTTCATGAAACCCCCCATCTCAACAGAAAAAAGCTGACATGGTTGCTCATGCCTACCTTCCCAGCTGTAGTGAGAAGCATAAAATAGAATCATGGTCCAAGTTGGTCCAGGCAAAAAGTAAGACTTTATCTAAAAAAAATGACCTCCATACACAGAGAAAGAGAGAAAGAAAATGAGGCTTAAAAGTATGTTCAAGCCAGGCGCAAGTGGCTCACGCCTGTAATCCTTGCTACTCAGGAGGCTGAGATCTGAGGATTGAGGTTGGAAGCTACCCTGAAAGAAAGTCCTTGAGATTTTTATCTCTAATTATCTACCAGAGAGCCAGAAGTAGAGTTGTGGCTTAGGTGGTAGAGCACTAGCCTTGAACAAAGCAGCTCAGGGACAGTACCTAGACCCTAAGTTAAAATCCTAGGACTAGCACAAAAAGAGAAAAAAGAGAGAGTTGGACTAAGAACGTTTCCCAAAGACCCTGCGACTATAACATTGTAGAGTTCTAAAATGATTTCTTTGTTCTCTGTTAGCTAAAAAGTATAATTACCAACATTTGCTGTGAATATACTATTTTCCAGACTCTGTGTTCTGTTCATTTTCCACATATGGACTAGTTTATTCCTTATAAGATGGATAGTAATTTTATCATTGTCCTCATATCTGAGAAATAATATTAGAACCTAAAATGAGGCACAGGAGATTACACAGTCTCAGAACCAATGTCCTTAGCCAGCGTTCGCTCTGTCCTGCCACTGCAGAGAGAAAGAGTAGAGCACCGTTAGTGGAGGCGGTCCATGTGCTCTCCTGCCTAAGATAGAAATAGATAATTTTACCAATCTGTTAGGATAAAAAGTTGGTACTGAATCAAAAAGTTGGCACTCACACTTATGAAATGTTTTTGTTCTACTCACAATTCTATTCACAGTCATTTTTTTCCCAAAATTTTTATTGTGATTAAGTGGGTACATAATTCCCCAAATTTCACAGTATTGTGGGATAGTGATGCTTAGTTAAAGTCACAAACACATTCTAACTTTCATGTTCTATAACATTTATGAGTTCTACGAGCTTTGCAATACAGTTATTTCTTCCACATTGGGTGGTATGTACATTTCTTTTGTTTTGCATAGCATCAGCTGTTCCCTCTGTCCCATCTTTCCCACTTGTTC